AATATTCATCATAGGGAATTTGTACCTGTACATGATGTATCAGACTCTTAGTGTGTCTTTCCATTCAGTGGGTTTTGCGTCTTCCCCCTCAATCTCATCCCATCAGGCCGAAGACTACATCCCAATTCCTACTTTCCTCATCTCCATTTCCCCGAACAATTCCCCAGCACCATTTCTCCTGTGTCTGAAGCTGCTTTGTCTTGCCAGGCAGCAACTGGAAGAGATCCGTCTGAAGCAAGAACAGCAAGAAAACTCAGGCACCAAGAGGCAGAAGGAAAACAAGGACCAGAACCTGGGTGAATCAGCTGGAGAGAAGAGCAAACCCAGAGCAGGGCACCGGGCCCACCTGGCTCACAGGATGCAGAACTGGGAGAAAGAGGTGTCAAGAGTTTTGTGGCTCTTATTGTACTGCTGGAAAATGGGCTGGGACTGCTGGAGAGGAGAATCTCTGCTGTCCTCTCCTTCCCTGTGCATGAGATGAGCTCCTACTTAGTAAAGTAAATCTAATCTTTTGAACAGGAAGTGAGAGATCGGACAGCAAAGGGAAACTTGCAGGAGATCCTAGGCAGGGTTGGAGGTCAAAGAGGCAGAAGTCCTGTAGCATCCTTGCTAATGGCTTGGGACTCATCTTTGGAGAGCTTGCATTGACTTCTCCTATGCCTTGCAGCTGCCACCAGTACACTTGGACACCATGCAGCCTCAAGAAATTGTGGAAGAGGAAGAGCTAGAGCGGTTAAAGGGCCTGCTACAAAGGGGCAATCTCATCCGAAGCCTGGGTATTGTGGAGCAGCTCACCCAAATGCTCCACATTAGCCCCCAGAGCCAGAGAAACCTTCATGAATATCGGGTGAGTGTGCCTATGAAGCTTCTCACAAAACAAGGGAACAAGGGCTGTTATACCAGCACACAGTAGTGGTTATACCCAAGGAGGCTTGTGTGGTGGCACCTTTGGAGCCTGTGAAAGCTGAGTGTGCTGGGCCTTGGGTGAGGGTCTGTCTGTTCCTTCTGCATCTGTTCCCAAGCTCTGTTATTTTTGGTAGTGACATACAGTGAAATGCAGCTCCCAACTTTCTCAATTACAAGAGACTTGCTCTCATTCTATCCCTACCTCACAGTGACCCAACACTCATGAGTGACAACAAGGCTCCCATTACCCTCAGTGGCTTCTGCATGATCCTCTCCCTAGCAGTGCCAGTGCTCTGGCTCTAATGGGAACTAAGTATACAGTTTTGGGCCAACAAAACATCTATTGCATTCAATATTCCCTGGGCTAGAAGCAAACCAGTTGGGCCCTGTTTTTGTTGAACCCCAAAGTAGCTGGCTAAAAAGTGCCTATGACCTAGAAGAGATTTTTAAGTTATCTGTTTCTTCCAGCACTCCATCCAGCCTCACCAAAAGTGTGATAATGGGATGCTCTTCTCCCTCTAGCCTAGATTTCACAGCGGGCTGGGCAGTCAAGAAATGCAGTCTCTGAGGCTGTTTCCATTGGTGCTCCTGAGAGAGGCTGCTTCAGAGGAGGGCCATCCTCGTTTCCTGCAACCACTTCATCCCCAAGAACTGATCCCCAGGATCTTAGGGCCACTGTCAAGCATGAATGCTGCAATTCCGCATCATTCTCAGTGCCATCTGCAGTCCAGGAAGCTCTACTGGACAGGAGATTCAGCATCCATGGGCCCCTGTTCATTGTCAATGAGGAAATCTGGAATGCACTATTTTTCTGGTGCTGGAGTCGGGTTTGCTGGCCGTAAGTATATAAAACTGGGTCACTGATCCATATAAATGCCCAGTAGCAAATATGACAGCTGGGAGGATCCCATAATATAATGTGGCCCTTCTTCTAGTGTGTGTGTGTGTTTGTGTGTGTGTGTGTGTGAGCTGGTGACCTATTTACCTCCTTCTAAATACAGTATTAGTCCCTGGTGATAGAAATGGCAAAAATGCAGTCCCAGACCTCCACAAAGGTAACAGAGAAATGGCCAAGTAAACAAGAAAATACATCAGTGACAATAGTGTGGGAAAGATGCTGGAGGGAAGGATGTGTGCCATTCCTTCGGGTTGGTAATGGACCGTAACTGAGAAAGAGGTGAGTAAATCTCTTTTGTGTGTACCAACTGGGGTGGGGTGGGGGTGTCCATGTTTCCACTGCAGAAGGCCAAGCCAGCAGAAGGTTAGAAGCTATAAGCCGAGGCCTGGCAGGATCAGTGCCATCCATTTTAACCTCAAAGCACTATCTTCTGGAGCCAGGAAGAGTGGAAAGGGACTCATTGACTGATTGCACCTTGCCCTCCATGGTAAACTCTGAATGCAGAGAACCAAGAACGGGGATGTCGTCCTCTGCACGGCCTCTCCGCACGTGCTGCGACGACGCCCCAGCACACTCGTCAACGTCAGCCAGCACAGGTAAAGGCAGGAGGGGAGCCTGGCACCCACCCTCTCCTGGAGAAGCCTAGGGTTTCCAGAAGAGCAAAGAGCCTTCAATCTTTGCTAAATGAAAGACTGCCACCAAGTTCCAGTGTGAAATTCCCTGGCCAGGAACCTTGTTCGCAAAGGCAAAACACAACACTAAGAATTCCTCAACACCTTTTGGAATCGGTAAAGATGAGAAGATGAACAGCTGAGGCCGGCCTTGTACTCATCTCCGCACGGCAGGTCTTAGCCTGGGTTTATCGCTAGCAGATGGGTTTGAGGCTTGGGTGCTGACCCAGGGCTGCAGGCCACTTCGCGTCAAAGGCCTTTCCTAGTGGAGCCAAGTGCTCACAGCACGGATATATCGCCATCAAAAAGACTGCTAAGGGGACGCCTTTCCCGCCACCCTGGCGGAGAAAGGCAGGCCTCGGCAGCCTGAGACAGAAGGTCGGCTGCTGGCAACTGAATCCGTCTTTTTATTAAAGTTTATGTCGTTTTCCAGGCGCGTCCGTACCTCACTTCTGCCCTCGGGCTTCAGGGACTGCCCAGCACTATTACGGCAGTGAAGCTTGCGCCAATAGGCAGTTCCGCCCAGATGGCCGCACCCACCCGGTAGCCTGAAAGACGCGACCTCTACAGCTTCCGGTCGGCCCCTTCCTCTTCCGGGGCCGCCCCGCTGCTTCCGGTGGGGCCGCGTCGCGGTGTCCGAGAAGCTAGTTGCGTCGCAATGGCAGCTACTTTGACCCTCTTGTTGGCCGGCCGTGGTCGGGCGGCCGTTGCGAGATGTGGGTTCGTGACTCGGGGGTTGTTAGGCCCAGGTCCTACCGGTCGCGAGCCGGACCCCGATTCTGACTGGGAGCCTGAGGAGCGAGAACTACAGGAGTTGGAAAGGTATCGGCTCCTTCGCGGGCCCTCAGCCTGAAGCAGGGCCCAGTGTCTTGGCGCTTCGGGCCGCGCCCCCTTGTCGCCTAGTGTCCACCCTCCGCGTCCGCAGCAGCCCTGCTTTTTTTTGTTTTGTTCCGTTTTTACCTGTTGTGAGGGCCGCAGGGGCTATTGTTCAGTTTTCTAGTGATTTCAGGTCCCTTTACTAGTGACATTATTTCATCATCCGTTTAGAGTTCGACTCACGGGCGCTTACTGTTTTGGGTGTTCAGATTCTGGGACGGTGTACACAGCACTCTGAACTGCCAAACATGGCCCAAGTTGCCTTTGCGGACAGAAAAGATGACTGGGGGTGTCTGTGACTGAGCCCGAGACTCTTCACCACCCATCTTGCTTGCACGCATGGCTTTTGCCGTTGGTTCTCTCTCTTAGCACCCTGAAACGGCAGAAGAAAACAATCCGACTGCAGAAAATCCGGAGGCAAATGGAACCGCCAGGTCCCCCTCCCAGAACCCTGACGCGGGAAGCCATGGACCAGATCCGGTAAGACTCAGGGTACCTTATTGGTTGTGATGCAGAATGAAGGACCCTGGGGCCAAGAACATGAATTTAGCATTTTTTTAAAAATTATTTTTAAAACCGGGCGTCGTGGTGCATGCCTGTAATCCTATCATTCTGGAGGCTGAAGTAGGAGGATGGCTACCAGTTTGAGACCAGCCTTGCCTGCATAGTGAGTTCAAGGCCAGCCTGAACTACATAGGTGAAAGCCTGTCTCGAGACGACAAAAAAGGAAAAGCAGAGTGGGTAGGAAACCCCTTCCGGTCTCCTGTCTCTCTTAGAAGCTATCTTTCAATAAATTTTTCTTACTCTTTAACAAAAAGACAAAAATAATAATAATAAATTGTTTCTTGAGGTACTGGCGATTGAGCGATTGAACCAAGGGCCTTCACACTGAGCTATATTCTCATCTTTTTTTTTCTTTTGGAGACAGGATCTCACTAAATTGCCCTTGCATTTCTCTTGCCTCAACCTCCCAGAATGCTGGGATTACAGAGCACCAACAGGCCTGGTTTATGTTTTCTTACTTATTATTGAAAATTTTAAACAGAAGTATAATAATAAAACAAACTTCTAAACTTAGATTTAGGTCATCTAAATTTAATAACTTTTAATGTTATGACACAGTTGGCTTATATTTTGTTTAACTTTTTAAATATCAAGTTGCAGATGCCACATTTGATATCTAAATAGATTATGAGATTCTTAGTCTAAGGTCCGGAAATGGGCCTTCCATGGATATATACATTTTCCATAATTTAGAAAATATTTTTTTTTGTGTGTGTGTGTGGTATTAGGGCTTGAATTTAGGACCTTGCGCTTACAAGGCAGGCATGGTGCCACTGAGCTAAATCCCTGGCCCATAACTTAGAAATCTTAAGTCCAATGCCTTAACCACTCTGCCATCCCGGTGCCCTAGAAATCTTAAAAGAGATCTTTAAAAAATTTTTAATTTAGAAAAGTTTTCTCTTGTTTGAAAACATTTTAATAGGTAATTTATTATCTATGGCTCAAAATTATAACTACAACTTGATATATACTTTGATATATTAATTGTCCTACCCAGTTTCGTATTACCATTTTTACTGGTTTTTGTGTCTTTATCTAGATTTCCTTATGCAGATATAAGCAAGTATGAATGCAATTTTTACTTTCACCTCCCAAAATACAAGCATAGCATACTATGAATCCTGTTCTGCATTTCTTTTTTCACTTGATAAATCCTATAGATTTTTCCATTCAGAAGAAAGCTATGCATTTCTCTCTAGCTTAGTAAACCATAGTTTGTCTGTCTTATGTTGGGCACTTGGGTTGTTGCCACTCCTTTTGCTTACAAATAGTGCTCCAATGAATAATTGTATACATATCATTTAGTGTATCTGCCAGGAGTATTTGATGTATATATTCCCAGAAGCAGACTTATTGATAAAAAGACAAGTGTATTTTTATTTTGATTAATATTGTTAAATAGCCCTACATTGGTTATGTACCATTTTCCATGTCCATGGAGTGGTGAATGACTCTGGTTGTGACTTAGAATAAAGAGGATTTGTTAGCCTGTAGCATCTCTCTCCTGGGTCCCCATTTGGCTCCCTACTGTGAACCCAGAGCTGCTCATGTTCTAGGCAAGTGCTTTGCTGTACCATTGGGTTACATCCCTAGCCTATCAGCTCTCTGCTGTCTTGAACAGCTTTTCAAACCCTAGTAAATCCCCTTTTGTGGTCAATAAATGTCTTTAACTTCGAAGAAAAAAAATAGGCCATTAAGTAAAATCTTTTCAGCTTCCTGGTCTCATGCTTTACCTTCAATTGTCATACTCTACTTCCATTTTTAAAAATGTGTGTGTGTGTGTGTGTGTATACATAATTATATATATATAATATATATATAATGTGTATGTATAATATATTATATAATAAATATATATTACACATTACATACATATATATT